ATTGCTTGTTTGAGATAGATAGTTAGATTATTGCTTGTTTGAGATAGTCATTGCCTGGCACTTGTCCAGCACGGGTCATTCACTCATCATTTCTCACAGCAGATGATTACAAATGCTTGTGTGATGCAATGTTACTTGCCACTTTTCAGCTCAAGACTGATTGTTTAGGTCTTTATTGCACGCTGACACTGATTACCTCAGTCTCTGAGGAATTGCAAATGCGACTGAATACTGTGCAATCAATGAATATCTTTGCTTCTGACATTATGTTGTGGAGAAGGTTGTTGTTAAAGGAGTTGAAGATTGTTGGGCCTTGGACACTATCCTGAGGAACTCCAGCAATGCAGTGCTGAGACTGAGATTATTGCTATCCAATAACTACAGTCGTTCATCCGTTGTGCCAGGTATGTTTCCAATGACTGGACAGGAACTCTCTCCACCCCCAAATACCACCACCAACCCTTACCAATTCCTTGTGACTTCAATTTCACTAGGGTTCTTGATATTGAGGACAGCCACTTGAGACAAGACGACATAGGAGCAGATGTAGGCGATCCAGCCAATCAAATCTGCTCTGCCATTCGTTGAGATCATGACTGATCTGATAATCCTCAACTCCACTTTCCTGCCTTTTCGTCGTAAATTCGGATACCCTTACTGATTGAAAAATGCGTCTCGGATTTGAATATACTCCATGACCTAGGCTCAATAGCCCTCTGTGGTTAAGAATTTGACCAATTCACAACCCTCAGAATAAATTCCTCATCTGTTTTAAATATTTCAGCTCTTGTTCCGAGATTATGCCATCTACACCTACATGATTTTATGCATCTACCCGGTCAAGTCCTCCAATAATTTTGTATGTTTCAATAAGGTCACTTCTTCTAATATTCCAACAAGTACAGCCCAATTTATTTGGCCTCTGCTCATAAGACAGTCCCTCCGTACTAGTATCAGCCTACTGAACTTTCTCTGACTGCTTCCAATGCCAGTACACCTTTCCTTAAGTAAGGGGCCCACAACTGTTCACACTACGCCAGTTGTGGTCTGACTTGTGCCTTGTATAGCAAAATATTATTTGAAATCACAAGCTTTCAAAGCACTGCCCCTTCGTCAGGTTCATCCGACGTGTGACTTCTGACTCTGAAATAAAGGCCAACATTCCTTTTGTTTTCGCTATTACCTACAGAACTTGGATATTAACTTTTTGTTATGAATGGGCGAGGACTCCCAAATCCCTCTTCTGCAGTTTTTTTTTCATTTAAATGATATTCACCTCCTGTATTCTTCCTGCCAAAGCGCATACCCTCATATTTCCCCACATTATATCCCACCTGCCAAGTTTTTGCCCAATCACCTAACTGTCTACATCCCTCTGCAGGCTCTGTGTCATCCTCACACTTGTCTTCCCACTCAGTTTTGTATGATCTGCAAACTTGGCTATAGTACATTGACTTTCCTCATCCCAGCTATTAATTGTGACTCCAGCACTGATAC